GTCTACCCGGGTGACCCGCGGGTCTACCCGTCGGGTAACCCGGGTTGTATTTTTTAAGACGGGTTCAATCACTAGTTTTAACAGTACTGAAGTTTAAAGTCAAGTATGACCCTCTGCCTAAATCTTGACATAGAACACAGACAAATCTTTTATTTAAAGACAAATTATGTTTAATTGAATTCTATAATATTTTAAAAATTTTATTTATTAGTATTTGTAACAAATAGAATAGCATATAAAGTTACAGTACATTAATTTTAATAAAAAATGCATACTTTCCAGCCAGCATCAGCAGTCTTATAATAAGGATAAATCTCCATAATCCAATTATAAATTCATTTAATCTGAGTTTTTTATTAGAAGAATTTTCAATTGCATAATTAATCAAAGTTGCATAAGTATATAGTGATTTTCCAAATATGAAATCTTGAGAATTTTTTATTGGTAATGTGATCATAGTTGTAGCCGAAGATTTTCTATTAGCAAAAGTATCTACTGATGTTGCAACTCCTAATGACACGTTTAAAGACGTATTGATAACTTGGGTTGAATTTGATTCAGTCATTGTTGAAGTTTGGTAGTATTGATTAGTATTATACAAGATAAAATTATATAAACCTATACCATTAGTATTACCAAAGCCCAAAGCAAGAGTTCTAATAGATGACAAATGCCAATAATAAGTATAAGATTGTTGTAAAGAGGTTTGCTATTGATCGGTTGACATTTCTACTAAATGAAAGGCAGTTTAGAGTTAGTTAGTAAATGACTTATCAGTTACACATTTGTTGAAAAAAATTTTTATAATGAATAAAAGTTTGTATAGAATATATCTATTTAATCATAATATATACAGACAATTACTCAAGGCAAATTTTGACTTTGAGATCTTTGCTAACACAATAATTCCAAAGGATTATTAAGCTAGTAAAGATCTCAATTATAATATGTCTCAATCCTTTATTTAAATTCAAAATGAAGAATTAGGGAAACTAAATGCTATGCATTGGATACTAATGTTTTCCATTTGGTGTTGGAAAGAGCTTATTAAAAATCCTGAAGAAGTTCATAAACCTGAATCTAGGACTTTTTATCTTGTAGCTGTCATAAGAACTAAATCAAATTCTTTAAGAGCACAAAATAATTTTTCGAAAAGATTTTACTACTTATTAGATTTTAAAAAAAAATATAAAAGAATTTTATATATTATCAGTAAGTCATAGCAAAGTAAACTTTATAATTTGAATTATGGAAAACATTAGTATCCAATGCATAGCATTTAGT